GGTGTGTGTGTGGGTGTCGTCACGATTAGCTATGCCCCCGCTCCTCCTGCAACCGGAACACACGCACTGAAATACTCCAACCGTACACATCCTTGCTGTTTCCTGTGGACGCAGTTGTCGGCAGTGATTCTTTTTGATAAGGGCTATGGTAATATTGATGATTATTGGATAATTTTCTGTTTATGTCATCCTGGGAGAAAAGATGCGATGTTTGATTTGAATGTTTGTTCCAATTGTTACAATTCTTTAGATTTATGTTTTATCTTTTTTATAAGAGATAAGTTGAAAATGTAGAATAATGTTTCTTCGTTTATGGCCTATTTCTTGCGAAAATTGGAACTAGATCGGAAAAATAATTTATATTTGTATTCGGTTTTTCAATTTGCAATATAATTGTTTGTTACATTGGAAAAAGCGATGAGAATATTTCAGAAATGTTTATAAATGGATAGATGGATCAGTTTAGTCGCTATTCGCCCTGTTAACAATTTAAAAATATTAGCGAGATGAAACGCAATTGATTATAGTTACTGAGAAATTCAAAAGCGTTAAAAATATTTTATTGTGTTCATTTACTCTTTATTTAACATCCAAAATTAAATGCAATCATTCAAGCGTCAATAGAAAAGAAATACGAAACTGCTTACAAAATTAACTAATGTAACGTTGGTTACTTTCAAATGTACTTAGAACGCAAAGAACTGGAGGAAGCCCTAATTGAAGCAAAGAAAAGGATATAACAAGAGTAAAGAGTAAGTCTCCTAATATCTAGGTTCGTGTTCAGTAGGACCGCTTCAATTAGTTACTGACTAAGGGAAGTTCAGATTGAAGTTTTTCGAAATTTTTTACTTCTTTACTCACCTGTATTATTATATTTACTTAACTTAGCTAATAGCATTCCTTCATCAAGCAGTACTGGCGAGTTAATTCAGGCCAATTGATACTTCAACAAGTTAGATTGAAAATTTAAAAAAATATATTTAGTGACCAGGGAAAGCTTGACACTCCTTTCAACAAGAATCACTGCTGGCGTCCGTACGAAGTAGAGTCCATCTTACAAGTGCGTCTCATCAACCGTTTGTCGTCTACTTTGCCACAAGTTCGGTCTCTGTCTCCTCGCGAGGGTTTTGTTCGCGAACAGCGAAGTTTTCGCAGTTGTTCGGTCGAAGTTCGAAAAATTTTCGCTGAGACGGAGACCCCTGGGTGCTCGTTACGAGTTCGTCTCGAAGAAACGTTGGAACAAACCGACGAAAAGGATCCTTATAGCAATAGTCGACGTATCTAAAGAAACTTCAGCAGTGCCCTGGATTTCCTTCTACTCGATCGAGGTAAGAACATTTATTGTTTCATCAGAAAACGTCGAAATTGCTGTGAGTCTCCGGATTGGTTAACATGTTGCGTATAAACCGCATAAAATGTCCTATTCACACTTTAATGTGCTAACTTTGAATTGATTTTAATGAAAAAAATGATGTTAGTAAATTGTTCTTTAGAAAAGTGTATTGAAGAATTAATGCAAAATTAGTGACGATTTGCAAATTTCCAATCTGGAATAAAGTGAATCTCCATGTGAAAAGAAAGGGTGAAAATTATATTTCTTCTTGAGTGGGATAAGTATTTTCAAGGAAATTGATTTAGAAAATGTTAATATGCTTGTGTGCTGTGCTATTAAAAATTACACCTGTTGTTATATAATACTTTTTATAAATGCAACAGTTTAACGTAACTTATATATTTTGAAACACGAATTACTCATAATTTTTAACATGAATTTCATTTTGTTTTTGTGAAATAATAGTTTATATTATATATAATAATATATTTTCTCTATTTCCCATAATAATTTAGAAAACATTAATACATTTATACGCAATTTGTTAAAAGACGAATTCTCCGTTGAGCGATGTAACAACATTTTGAATCTTGTCTAGAACATTTTCCGTAATTTCTGACATGATAGCGTGAAAAAGTTCGTAAAGGACGTCTACCGAAAAAAGTGGCGTTTAAAAGGGCCCTTGGCAGACACCCCAACGAAACACGTGACGAGCACCCTAGAACGTTGATGGCCGGCTGAGGGGTTTTTCGACCTTTTCACATACACATCTCACGCGCTTTCAGTGAACATGCTTCAAGTAGCAATCGATGTCCATTTTGTAGCCAATGTTACGTAATACTCGAACATTGAAAAGGGAAAACATGTATTGTATCGTTTGTCGCACAAATCTTACTGATTGTGCCATTTAATAACTTTAAAATTATTAATAACTTGACGGCATAATTTAAATCCGTAACATTAAACTATTATCAAGTAAAAAGTATGTTTTTTTCTGGTTTTTAGAATTATTTTTAATATTGAAATTTTATTCTAAAATTAGTTTTTACACTACATTATAAATGCAATCTAGGGTAACTATACACATTGAAGATTGTTTTCGAAGGTATTATATACAATACATTTTTTAGGAATATTATATAAACATTTGTTTTTTGTTAGATAATTTATGTTAAATTTCCGATAAAAAGAACTGAATGGTGTAGATTATTCTCTTAATTTTAAAGTGTAAAATCATGAATATTGAACTTGTTAATATGATTTTAGAAGCTTCTTTGAGATTTTGATTGTGTCAATAAGAACTGAATTAAACAAAAGTCAATTTTGCTTGAAAACAATTTTTAATTTTGCAGCAAGTACCTCTTTTGCCTAATGAGTTTACCACAAATTACGTTTGCATCCACGTTAAACGCGGTTAAATACGCATGTTAATTGGATACCTAATTATTTAATCTGTTGCGTTGGTGTTTAACTGGTTCCGCATTATATATCTATTATTATAGAGCCATTACTTATAGGATTAGTTAAATAAAAAATTTAAGAAATAAGTAAAATGGTATTAATAAACATAAATCTGTATTCTCTGAAACTTCGGACTCATTCATTAACTGAATATTAAAATTATTATAACTAAAACAAAAATCTCTTTGATTTTAGCACATCCAGATAACCTTTCCTATTAACATGCATTAGTTATTGCACATGCACTATTTAAAAATTAAAAAATCTCAATATCTCAAGTACTTTGTAACATCTTTAAAATATTGTTCCAACGCAACAGATTAGTTGTGCTTAAACCTATACATTTACGGTTCCAATTCATCATTTACAAAGCAAAGTATAATAATATCCTGATTTTATTAAGTACACTTTAATGTTTGTATATACAATCATCATCAAAACACTCATAATATTTCAAGCATTAATCTCTTCACGCAGTCAGGAATAAAACTTTATCTTCTATTAGATCCTTTAATCATAACGTTACAGTTCAACAGAAATTACTTTCACATTATTTCCAACTCACTGCATTGCTTTTTATTTCACGATTTCTTTCAAAACCGAAGGAAAATATCTAAGGTAATAATAAGAAATTGCAACCACCATCGAAAGTTACTATCAAAGCAACATAGTCCCTAAATCGACAGCTGCTTGAAGCATTTCCCAAAAGGGATCACGATGTAGCCGCGAACAGGGTACAAAAGCATACCTTACGTCACGTGAGACACGATCAGACGAAACGACACGAAACCACTGCGTTCGACCGACAATTAACCCAAAGAAACGAACGTTCGAGGCCAAGAGGATGATGACGCGGACGTCTCTGTCTCTTTCTTGACCCCTGCATGAAACCGATTAGGATCGGGCCAGAGTGATATGGACGAGGCGATGGCGACGGCAGCTCTTCTGCGGAACAAACCGAGCCCTGGCTCCACGACCCTGGAGGACGTCCTTGACTCCCTCCTCGGGCTGCCATCCGCGTCGCGTACCCCGAGTCCCGGGCCAGGACCAGTTACCACTGGCGCATCCGCCAGCATGCGGCATCGAACTAACGTCGGACAGGCGAATGCGAAAGCCGGGAAGAGCTGCAGCGACCTACGCCAAGACCTCCAAGGTAGGAGGACTATGTAAGTTTTCGTTCTGAGGCAGATCCTCTCGAGGGACTCGAGAGCGCTGACAAAAAAAATTCTAGTCTACTACTTCTACGAGAGAGCTCTATTGTCTGTATGTATCCTGTGTACACATTCGTGTCCTTATTATTATGATAGTCGATGGTGTCCATTGATGAAGATGTTAACGTGCAGTTTCTGTATTCTCGAGGGATTTTGAAGAAGCTTTTTTCGGTTCCTATAGTTGACTGACTCATATGGTGTAACACCGAAGGAGTCTGATTGGTCAAGATAGATTTAGATGTTTTTTGTTTCTCAATTTTATGGTGTTTGTAATGTTGACCCTTAATGAGTCTCTAACGGTGAAAATAGAAAGTATTTTAAGGGTTGATGTTAATCTTTCTTAACCCTTAATTGATGATGTTCAATGGAATGAAATTTTCTTTGTCTCTCTTATTTAATATAATGGATTCATGTTGATGAGTAGTAATGTATTCGTTGGAAGAATGTGTAATATTGAGTAATAATAATCTATTTATTAATAGTAAGAAAGAAGAAGGAAAGAATTCAGAACGAGAGTTTGAGAAAACTTCATTGATAAGTAGTATATACATAGTATAAAAATATATGAAACAAAACAATAATTATTTTTGTGTCGAAATTGCAAAGAAACTTATCAGAAATTCTATACTCATATCTGAAACACTAATAGTCCTCTACAGTTGACCAATAAGGAGCATATTCCTACAAAATCAGCCTTAATTCACTGCAATGAAGACAAATATTTTTAAACGTTCTCAAAGCTACCAACAAATCGCTACGGTCAGCTAATTGTACGCACCTTTCATCGTAGAGGAAGGATTGAGTTTAATATACATGCAACGGCCTCGCGAGGGAAATTAATAATTCATGAGTGAAATGGATCCAGAGCGTTTTGTTGAAAATTCATAAGATACAATTTGAATACAACTGCACAGCCTGATATTACTAATTCGCAACAAAATCCTTTTTTCGAACGTCCAAAGTAAGAATAAATGTAAAAACTGGAGAACGGTCAATATTCGAGGATTCACGATAAGTTCGTGAAAAAAAATGCCTCTTTCCATCGTTTTCTTCGTTCACGTAATACCCCGGAGTCAGCAAGCGTGAAATTTTCACGTTAACATCTGAATCATGGAACGGTCATGCGTCTATGTCATGCCAAATTTATGAGCTCCGATTGTGTTTCTCTTCGCCCAGTCGCCATTCAGCCCTAACACGCACCCCTTTTTACCTCTGCCTCACTTTCTCCCACTTTTCCACGTATCTATTGTTCTACGATCGTTCAATTTCCTCTCATATCGCCATTACAAAGGACGGTGTCCGCGTTTCGTGCACATTTTTCAGGTAAATTGCATGTCACCTGTATCAAGATTCTTAGAAATATTTTTCTTCATTTTCTTTTTAAGAGAAACACACATTCTGCATTTTATTGGAAAGAGATTAGATTGTAGGAAATAATCGGGATTGAATCTTGGAACTGCACCGACAAGTGCTCGAGAACTGAAGAAAGAGTGTTTAGTGATTGAGATTCTTTTTGCATGAAGAAGTTCATTTTATATTGCAAAATACGAAACTGGCACTACGGAAACCGTGCATGAGTGTACTCGATATTCAAATGTACCTAACTCGTTTTTAGAAAATGGATATCAATTACGAATTATTAAACATTTGACATATTTGGAATGAAACCGTAATATCTTTGTTGGAAATGTAATTTATGTAATCTTTTAACAAATTTATTGCTATTTATGAGATAATGAATTACTAGCTATTAGTATCAAATTATGAAACTATTATTCTAGTATAACTATATATTATTTAAATAAATTTTTTTATTATTCATTTTTCCATTCACTAAAAACAATTACCCAATACAGCACATCATAACAGTTTATAATGTACAAACAAATGAACTGCGGATCTTTATGCACTATAGTATTTTTCGAAGCCATATACATAACTACACATTAAAAATGAATACAATGAAAAGCAGATCTGTAAATAAATATAATATTTACATTATATAACAATTTAATTTACATTAAAAATAAACAAAATACTTGTTAGAACTGCCATTTAATTGACTATACTTTATCAAATTTCTTATCTTTACTTTCTGAGTGCACCGACATCCGCAATACGCACACAATAAATTGAAACTGTACAAAGAAAACGATTGAACCATAAAACACCGAAACGTTGACACCGTTGCATGGAATGACGCGCCAGAAAAACTTGTTCAACCCTGTCGTATCAATCGGCGAGATATCTCGCGAGTATATAAACATCAACAATTCATATAACAAATATTTTCTTTCAATAATGGCAAAGTAAAAACTTGTTCGCTATATATCTCCAGAAGAGATTAAAAACAATATCTATTATCACACCGATAAGATCATCCTTCCGATTCTCTTTCCTCAGCCATCACCCTACCTCATGTATCAGCCATGATCGACATCGAACGAAACGTGAAAAAAGAAAAAAAGAAAATAAAAGATTGAAAAAGAAACAATGTGAGAGTCGTCGGGCGACGAAGAAGAAAGAAAAGAAAAACGCGG